AGAGACGTGGAGGGGGAGGGAGAAACTTGGAGGGGGAGGGAGAAACGTGGAGGGGGAGGGAGAGAGGGAGACATGGATAAAGAAAAAAGGAGAGAGAGTGAATAGAAAGCAAAAAATATCAACGAAGAGTTGCTGATGAAACTGAGAGGAAGGGAATGAATTTATTATAATTCGAATAGAAATTTAATGATGGTTACTAAGATTGTCCCTCGTTCTTTGCACCCTTTTCTCTTCTCATGTACGACAATACTTGGAAACGAAAGAAAGAGGGGAACAAAAAGGTAAGGTAAGGAAAGGAAAGGGAAAGAAAATTTAAGAATTTCGATATTCAACAAATTCTTTGCCTGGAGTTATATTTTACTAAGTTTAGGCGAAAATGACAATATTAATCTACATCCAATTTTAATTAGTGCTCTATGATGATGTATGTCTCAATTATTCAGAATATTCAGTCGTATCTCTAGCCAATCTGGCTGACAGTGGTGGCTAGAGCGTGGGCCGACACATCCCCTCGGTCGTTAGGGTCGCTGGTTCGAGTCTCGCCGTAGGCATCGTTGTTTGTCCTTAGTCTTTCCAGTATGTGTGTTGTCAGGAATTGCCTTGTGTGTCTGGCGACTACAGATTGATGAGCTGGCTCGTGAATAGTGTAACTAATGTAAAAGTTTTATATTTGTGTGCGTTTTCATGAGGGACAGCGTGTGTACTGCAATGCGAGATATACAAAAATAGGTATCTCCTCAAGCTGAAAAAGCCCTCGGAAGGAAAAAAAATCAGTTGTGGCTTTGAAGACAGTTCTATGACATAACCAGGGAGTTTAATGAATACCTTGCTTTTTTTCAAAACTTTCTCTTTTTGTGAAGGAAAGAGTAGGACAATTGTTACAGGTCTACAGTACTTCAATAGAAAACTGCGTAAAAAGCATTGTCATTAAAAAAAACTTGTAGTTTTGAATATGAGTATGTACCCGGTTGAAATCATCTGTTTACTGCTCTTATTGACAAGTCAAACATTTATATGATTCCATTATTAATCAAATTTGAGCCTTTCATTTGATTAATAAAAAAGATCCAAAAGAACCGCATGTTTGTATTGAACGGCTGAGAAGAAAAAAATACCGTTTTGACCTTATGTAATATATCACATATTTTATACATATAACATATTTTATATATACACTTAGAAACATAAATATCCTTTGGAATGCAGAAATTGAGTTCAAAGGCAAACTCGTATTTAATACAACAAACTTCATCGTACTATATCTTCTCAAAATATAATACCAAATTGGAAGGATGATGGTCAAAGTTTGGTAGTTTCGTACAATATTGGTAGTAAAATAATACTGGTTTCTCCTAAATAATATGAACCAATGTTTCTTACGTTTTTTTGGCGAGAAACTTTTCAATTCTGCTGTAGATTTTGGCAATTTCTCTTCTATAACGTACAGTAAAGGTTATGTTTCAAATAAGCTGAAGCACTGAGGATACATATATAATTTTTGGGTAAGGCCTGTGTCATAGCGTCCGAGCGTTGAGTTGACGCGCGTTACCCACCGTTGACATCATCTGCGTCGACACGCGTCAACGCCGTCGTCTTAACGTGCGGCATAGGTTAACAATGTATCTTATGCGAAAAGGCGCACAGGGCTCTAGGAGTTGCGCGATGTCGATATGCAATGGGCAATGCTGGATGCGATGTTGTCTAGTTTTTGTCGCGTGGCGAATGATAGAAAACGTGCTTGAATAACGTTGAAACTTCAGCGTCTTGAGGTTGAGCTGTAGGCGCAACGGTCGTTGCGAAGAGCGCTCATGTGCCATTTCGCGTAAGACACAGCGTTAAGCGTCTAGTGTGCGCAGGCATCGACGCGCGTCGATTTAACTGACGTCATCAGCATTAGATGACGCGCATCTATGCAATACTCTTGTGCTACAAGCCTAAGAAAACGCCTACTTTTCTCGGATACAAACGACGAAAAAGGCAAAACCGTGAATTAGCGGAGTTGGGGGTATATTAGGTTAGACCTAGATCGCGCTCGACGTCGCCAGCCCGCCGTCAGAATTGCGATGCACATTCCAATGACGCAAATGGTCTCCAAAAAAACCAGTGCTTCGAGTATTGGAAATGCATTTTAAGTTTCGGTTTTAAAGGCTGAAACGAAATATGAATATTACAAAAATACTAAGGTAATCAGCGCTTCTGATGCCAAAACAGTACGAGAAACACGTTGGTGTGTTTCTCCATCTGAAATGAGTCATGAAAATTGTTGTTTTCAGTATCCTTTGTACAATTACATACTGTAGGAACCACCTGCTTTGGGTTACGGGAGGTTAGGACTCTGTATGCTTTTTGGCATTTGTTTCTTCACTTCGAGTTTCTTGTTTATTAACGTGTAATAGAAGATCTTATGTGTTTCTGGAAGTGGGAGAATATGGCGTGGCAAGCGCCATGCTTCATTTGTATATTTTACCCAAAATTTACTGTTAATATAGCCATTAAAGATTGCTACATGTTTTGAAAGGGCTTGGTGGGCCTCAGGATTGCCCTGAATAGGACATAGACAGGTAAAAATCCTAGCTCTTTCGTTTTTTGGTGTTTGAACCCAGGTTTTGAGGTTAGAAAACGTGCGTCCTTACCATTACGCAGTCACGACGTCATAGATTATTATTTACCCCGAATATTAGCAGTTAATTTTCCAAGAAAAGAGTAAATAATGTTATTGCACTCACCGGCCCTCGAACTTGTGCTTGAGGAAGTCGAAGAGCGCCTTCTGCATCATGTCGGTGACCTCGTAGCCCTTGAGCGACGGTCCCACCAACACGACAGGCCGCATGGACGGCACCACGTCGTAGGGCGTGGTGGTCTCCTGCTTCTTGAAGAAGGGCTTCCGCTTCTCCTTGGCCGGCGGCGTCGTCAGCGTCGACTTGCCCAGGCGCGCCGAGTCGGAGTCGTCGCCTGCGCACGCCTCGGCATGTAGCATTCTGCGCCCGCTCGCACTAGCCCTAGCCATAGTCCTCCCGCCCCAGCCCTAGCCCTTCTGCCGCAGCCCCTGCGCCCTAGCCCCTGCGCCCTAGCCC